TAGCTTTTTCTTGTTTTAATGGGTCAAGGTATTCTTTGAATAAATCTTTCTTTATAGGGTCAGTTGTTGTTTCAATTTTCTTTTCGAATTGTTGTATATATTGTTGGTGGTATTCTCTTGTGAGTTTGTATCCTAGTTTAGGTCCTCTTTTATTATATTGTTTATAGATACAAGGTATCTGTTGTTGTATACAATTGTCACAGTCATTTACGTTTGTTGATAATAGTTTAGTACACTTTCGTTAATGATCATAGCACTCTATACAGGTGTGTTTGGTATATGGTTTGGTGTGTATTCTTCTTGGTATGATGTATTTGGATATTCACTATCTTCGTCAGAGGTGTCTTGTAGATTATCAAGTTCCTCGTATAGTTTATCAAAGTTATGTTGGTTTTTGAGTGATTCAAAGATCAACTTTGCTTCTTCAATTATATGGAGTAAGTTTATTTTTGCGTCAAATATTTTTTTGAGTACTTTGGTTTTATCTGATATGCGATAGTTTCTTTTACAGGTTTTATTACTGAGTTTACAAAATGAACAGGGTATTTTATTATCACAGAGTAGATCTTTTGTTTTGCAGTATTCGCAAATTGTATATCTTTCTCGTGTTTTAGGTATTTGTTTTTTGTTTTCAGGATGTTTGGGCATATCTCAATTGTTGAGACAAAAGCATGCCTTTTTATAAGTTTTTCCTGTTACTTTTGTATTACTTTAATATTTATAATTCTTTTTCTGGTTATTTATGTGATTAATAATACATTTTATGAAATTGATAAATTATGACTAAATATTTATAATATTTGTAACTATTTATTTGTTCAATGACTTGGGCGTTTTATGGGCGTCTTGTCTGTTTACTTTTTCTGATTTCAAGGGTTCTTTTATTTTTTCAGGGCGTGTAATTTCTGAGGTTGTTGTTAAATTCTCTTGGTAAGTTAGTAAATTTTTCTTCTGGATAGTCTTGGCCTAGAATGGTCTATTCGACTAATGCTTGGTTTCACAGGACAGTTATATGCCTAGCGCGTGTAAGATAATCTTGTTCTTGATATTACTCGAATTTTCTTTTTAATTCGAGGTTATCTTGGTGAAGTGAATTATTTATTTCTTGGTGAATTTTTATTGCTTTAGTGAGATATTTTATATTTTTGTCTTGGTTCAAAACCATTTTTTGTAAATCTTTGATTTCTTGTTTTATTTGTTCTATCTCAGTTCTTTCAATTTTTTCAAAATTGAATTCTTCAGTTTCAACAGTTACTTTAAGTTTTTTACTTTGTTTGAATTCTTCTTTTTCTATTTCATGGATTTGGTCTTTTTCATGTTTCTTTTTACAGATTGTACATTCATCATTTTTCAGGTATTCTTTTGGTGTAGGTTGTTTACAACTTTTGCATTCGGTTTTTAATTCTTTGTAACAGTCTAAACATAGTCTAGTTTTTAATTCGTTCACATTATAGAGGTATTTGCATTCTTTACAGAGTTCTTTTTCTTTGATATCTAATTGTGGTTCATTATATATTTTGTATTGAGCTGTTTTTTCTTTCCAATTTTCAGCATTTAATTCTTTCAGTTTGTAATCGTAGTCTAAATTTTGGGTAGCAATATCTGCTATAATTTGGTCTTGTTCCCCATTATTCATTTTATTAGGTTCTATTACTATGTTTTGATCTGTTATAGTATCATTATCATTGAATTGATCATCTAATTCATTATATAATGAGGTGATCATTTCTTGTCGTTTGTAGTGGTTATATGCCAATCATGAATAAAATCTTTTTCTTTTTCTTGCCTGAGTATTTTTTTTCGATCAAATTGTTTTGGGATTCCTTCTTCATCAAGTAAGGATTCTTCTTCTTTTATTAAAGCAATTAATCTATAAATTTTTGATTCATTTATACTTTTGCTTGCATATACTCTGTATCTTGTTCGATGGTGTATTCTTTGGTGAACTTGATATGTTGGTCTGTCAGTAATTTTTGCATAGACTATAAATACTATCATTTCTTCTAGATAGCACATATATTGTGGTGTATTCCAAAGTTGGTGTCCTTGTCTTTTTCTAATTGGTTTGCAACAAAAGTTGCATTCAGTTAATTTATTGATTCCTTCTTTTTTATAATATTCTTCTGCTCTTGGGTCATCGATTTCTATTTCTTCAAATTGGATGTGGTAACATGTTTTGCAGAGTAGGATTTCGTTATAATATTTTTTTACATTATTTAGACTGATTACTTCAAAATTATTTAGTGTGAAGTGGTCATTTTTTTTAACAGGTTTTTGGCAGTTGCAGCAGTGATAGGTTGGTGATTGGTGCACTTCGTTGTATAATTTATTTTTAAGTGTTTTCCCAGTAGTGTATTCTTTCATTCATTACCTTTTTCTGGTTACATTCACATGTTTGGGTTCTTTGGGTTTCAAGAAGTTCATAATATGAACATTGTTGGTGGTAATCTTGATAACAATATTTATATATAAGTTGCTATTGTTCTTTGATTCTTGGTGATAATGGTTCTTTTTCTTTTTATTTTGGTTCTTGTTTCCAATAATTTTTCATTTCTTCAGTTGTGTTAGGTTTGTTTGAGCAATTTTTAGTGATATGTCCTTTTTCTTTACAAATTTTGCAGGTCACAATTGGGCAATAAGAATTAGGATGTTCTGTTTTATAACAGATTCCGCAAGTAGTTTTTCGGTAAAGGTAGAATAAGAAATCTTTATCAAATTTCTTTTCATTTTTTAGTTGGCAATTGTGTTGGTCAAGTATGGTGAATTTTAAGCAAAGTGGGCACTCTTCTCTTGGAGTGTTATTCCAAATTTTAAATTTTTCTTCAAGTGTCATTTCAGGGCTGATTGTCTTTTCGTTCTTTGATCATTTGTAAATCATTTAAATGCATTAGGATTGCTTGGGTTGAGTAAGCAATCATGATTAGATAGCTTAGGATAATTGCAATTAATACAAATATTAGATTCAGTTCTTCTCCAAGAGTCATTGATGTTTTTGGTTTTTGACATTATTTCTTTTTTAGGATTCTTTGTGTTTTTCCGGTTGATATCTTTTTCTGTTCGGAGTTGGAGTCCTTTTCAGGATCCTTAAATAGTTGTTGGTTTTATAACATTCTAATAATTTTTTCTTGGCATTTTTAGATTTATTTTGTTTATATTTCTTCAATATCTTCCATTTCTTTAATAGTTTCTGGTTCAATTCCTGTGGTACTTAATTTAGCCGTGTTTTGTAAACATTTAATAAGGGCTTCAAATTGATCATGCGGGTTTTGTTTTTTTCAAATAAAAACTAATAACTCGAAAATAGATATCTTCTTTTTCTTGGTGGTATCTTTGACTTGATCACTTGCTAGTATGCTTCAATTGTATTTGTATGATAAACTTTTAGTTGTTCCGATGTTTTACTTTCTTCAATCATTGTAAAACCTTTTGAATGATTGATTGCATAGTGGGGTATCCCTAGCCATGAGTAAATATTTTGATAGCCTTTCTACATGTCTGAATAAATTATTGATTCGGGGTGTATATGTTTTTCTATTTGTTTCAACAAGGTATCTGCTGACCTGTCTTCTACAATTATTGCAAACATTTTGTGTTAGTGTGTTCTTTCTACGTCTCCAAATACCTATATATGGTTTAATTTCATTTCAAATTCATTTATTTCTTCATTGTATACCCAAGTTTTTCATGTTCCAAATCTTGATCCATCTATTTCTACAATAATATCTTTTCCTTCTATTTGTTGATATTTTTCTTCAAGATTAAAGCTTACTAATTCTTTAAATATTTTTAGCCAATGTGTAATCGTTGTTGGCGACATTCCTGTGAATGCGTATATTGTTTTGTGTTTACATTCAATTATCCATAAATATCCAATTGTTAACAACTTGTTATACAGGATCTTTGATTCTGAGAATATTGTATCTTTAAAGATCGATAAGCTTTTTCTACACGTGCATTTTGTGCACTTTACTAAAGTATGATTAAGGGTCATTCCTTGGTCACAGGTTGGGCATTTCATTTGTTTAGATAGTACTTCCTTATCTTGTAAATATTCAATAGTTCTTGTTTCTAATTCTAAGATCTTTGTAGATCATAATATGATGGTGTGTGAGTCATCTTTGTTTATGTAATTAGTAATTATCTAATTCGTTAATGAAATTATCAAATCCAAATAATTCTTGTATATCCCAAAATACTTCTGGTGGATATTCACTTGAGTAATTTTGTATCATCCATGTTGCTATTTCGTAAAGGTTAATCCAGCAATATGGTTCCAGCATGCATGGTAGCCACATTTAATTGGTTTAGGTTGTTTTGAGATTATCCACATATTGATAGTAATTATTAATTGAGCGCCTTCTTTTATCAGTTTTCTTAGTACACATAAGGTTGTATTTATAAGTTTGTCAGTGTAACCTTGTATTACTCGATTTCTTATAAAAACATTTGATATTCAGAATTTCATTCAGTACTTTTTCCAAGTTTCAAATCTTAAATTCTTTCAAATATTTCTAAATATATTAAACAATATTCTAAATATAATGTCTTCTAATAATCTTACAATCAATGATTATGATCATCTCTGTATTGATCTTCATACTAAGGAAATCTTTATTTTGTATCCTCTTGCAGAATATATTTGAAATACCTTTAATGGTAGTTTCAATATTGGTCAGTTCCATAAGAATATCACTTTTGATTATATTCAGGCCTACGATACTTTCTTTGAATTCGATATTTCTTCTTTCAAATAGATAATTTTTGATACTGAAGAATTTAAAGATCACTATTTCAAGAAGATTCTTAATAATTACTGGTTTGAGAAAGAAATTCCCCTTGGCCAATTTTTAAGTGAATTTATTATTTCTATTGATACGAATACTTGTTTAGTTCCTAGTAAAGGTTCTGATTGGGAGACTACTTTGTCCTTTAATAATTTTTTAACTATTCAGGTAATAAACGATAGTTTTTTTCAAAGTATTAGTAGGTCGAGTTCTCACTCTTCATCTAATAATTTTATTAGTCCTTCATCCGTAGTCAAAATCTCTGAAGATAAAGATAAATTATATATAGATTTAGATTCTGGCTTCGATTGAGAAGCTATCCGTTATAGGGATTGTAATTTTATTTATTGTAGTTGTTTATATACAATAGATAATTTGTTGTATAATATTGTGATTATAGTCAGAGTTGTACTTCTTATTCTGATGGTGATTATAGTGATTAATAAATTATTTGGTTGGGCTTGCACCTTTTTCTGTTTCTACTTTTTCTTTGAAATCTTTTCTGAGTTCTTGTTTTGGTTATATTATTAATTGTAATAGTATATTTTCTTTTCTTTCAACTTGTCCTAAATGTCGTGACAGCCAATCTGCCATAACATTATCTTTTCTAGGTATTCATTCTATTGTATATCTCATATCTTGCAGTTCTATTAACCATCTTTCTATAGTTGAATTTTGTGGTACTTTTCCTTCTTTTATGATTGTTCCTGTATTGTCAATTTGAACTATTATATGTTTTGTTCCTATATATGATTTCCATTTCATGAAATACGTATATATTGTGAACATTTCTTTTTGTGTACTTCCCATCTTTGCTGAGATGCGATTAAGTTTTGGGATTCAAATTCAATAACTTCTTCTTGCGATTTGGTCCAATAATTTTCTTTATCTTCAAGTGTTTTTATTTTGGTTTTGTAATGCATTAGTTCAGGATTAACTTGTTTCAGTACTGCATCTATAGAATTATCAAACACATCTGTTTCCATTATCAGTTGGTAACCTTGTTTTGGATAAGTTAATGCTATAGTATTTTCTATACAGTTTATGAGTGTTTCAAAAGCGTTTTGACATTCAGGTGTCTATTTAAAGGGTACATTTTTCTTTAAGAGTTCGTAAATTGGTTTCGCTATTTTAGAAAAGTCTTTTATAAACCTTCTAAAATAATTTATAAATCCAGTAAATTGTCATACTCCTCATATATCTTTTGAAATTTTTAATTTTTTAGCTTCTTTTTTTTAACTTGATTGGATTGTATTTTTTTGAATGATATTAAGTGGTTTAAAATTGTTGTTTCTTTTAAACAGAATGAACATTTTTCAGGTTTTAATACATGCCCGCTCTTTTTATGCTCTCGAATGCCATTTCAAGATTTTTTAATAATTCTTCAGGGCTTTGTGCTAATAATGTTGCATCATCCATATATACTGCTACGAATGGTAAGTGAGAGAAAATTTTGTACATGTATCTCATCATATAAGCAGGTGCTGTTTTTAGTTCTATTGGTAGTACAGTCCATTTAAATTTGCCTTTAGTTGGAAAGAATACTGTTGTTTTATCTTGTTCTTTTTCTGGCATTAGGAATTGGTAGTATGCAGCTTTAAAGTCTATTGTAGTATAGTATTTATATTGTGCAATTTTTTGTAAGAATGTGTTTATATATAGTATTTCAAAAAGGTCATCTTTTGTATATTTATTCAATTTTGTATAGTCACATACTATTCTATAGCTTCCATCTTGTTTTTTAATTATCACTAGGGGTGATGTTCAGTCTGAAGTTGATGGTTCTATGTATTTATCTTTAATTAGTTCTTCATATAATTCATCAGCTTTCTTTTGCGCTTCTGGGTCTAGTAGTCTAGTTCTCATTTGTGATTTTTCGCTCCTAGGTATTTGGTCTTTTGGTGTGTTTAATGGTAAGCTTATAGGTGTAAATTTTTTGGAATTGAATATAGTTACTTTTTCAGGTTTCATTCTAAATACTGTTTTTATATATCTTTTAAATAACGGTTCAAACATTTTTCTATACTGCGGGTCAGTATTTTTTATTAATATCTTCAGTCTCTCTTCTTCATTTTTGTAGTCATCTTTGTAGGTTTATGTTGGAAATTGAAGATTTCTTTTACTTCTTCTACATTTTCTATATGTGTATTTTTTGGTACTATAACTGGTTTATTAGTCTAGTTAAATATCTGTAGTTGTTTTGTCGAATCTCAGATTAATCCGTCTTGGATAGTTAATCTGTTTTGTGCAATATACACAGGTGTTTTAATTAGATAATCTTTTCTTTTTTCTGGGGTTCTTATTTCTATTTGTTGCTATATAAATAGTTTTAGCTTTGTATGCTTATTTGTATAAATAGGATATCCTTTTTCTATTGTGAATATTATTTGTCTTCTTATTTTATTCGGTTTATGTGCTAATACTTTGTATAGCCTTATAGTTTTTCTATTCATTTTGATTGGTTTGTATTGTAATTCCAC